TGGAGTTGCAATGATCATGAGAATGGTGAGGAATCAGCCCAGAACTACACGGGGGGATCTTGTCAATGATCTCAAGGCAGCTGGGACCATAGTCACCAAGAAAACAATTGGTAACACACTACGCCATGAAGGACTGAAATCCTGCAGCGCCCGCAAGATCCCCCTGCTCAAGAAAGCACATATACAGGCCCATCTGAAGTTTGCCAATGAAAATCTGAACGATTCAGAGGAGAACTGGGAGAAAGTGTTGTGGTCAGATGAGACCAAAATCGAGCTCTTTGGCATCAACTCAACTCGCCTTGTTTGCCTATGACCCCAAGAACACCATCCCCACCGTCAAACATGGAGGTGGAAACATTATGCTTTGGGGGTGTTTTTCTGCTAAGGGGACAGGACAACTTCACCGCATCAAAGGGATGATGGACGGGGCCATGTACTGTCAAAACTTGGGTGAGAACCTCCTTCTCTCAGCCAGGGCATTGAAAATGGGTCATGGATGGGTATTCTAGCATGACAATGGCCCAAAACCCACGGCCAAGGCAACAAAGGAGTGGCTCAAGAAGAAGCACATTAAGGTCCTGGAGTGGCCTAGCCAGTCTCCAGACCTTAATCCCATAGAAAATCTGTGGAGGTAGCTGAAGGTTCGAGTTGCCAAACGTCAGCCTCAAAACCTTAATGACTTGGAGAAGATCTGCAAAGAGGAGTGGGACAACTCCTGAGATGTGTGCAAACCTGGTGGCCAACTACAAGAAACGTCTGACCTCTGTGATTGCCAACAAGGGTTTTGCCACCAAGTACTAAGTCATGTTTTGCAGAGGGGTCAAATACTTATTTCCCTCATTAAAATGCAAATCAATTTATAACATTTTTGACATGCGTTTTTCTGGATTTTGATGTTGTTATTCTGTCTCTCACTGTTCAAATAAACCTACCATTAAAATTATAGACTGATCATGTGATTGCCAACAAGGGTTTTGCCACCAAGTACTAAGTCATGTTTTGCAGAGGGGTCAAATACTTATTTCCCTCATTAAAATGCAAATCAATTTATAACATTTTTGACATGCGTTTTTCTGGATTTTGATGTTGTTATTCTGTCTCTCACTGTTCAAATAAACCTACCATTAAAATTATAGACTGATCATGTCTTTGTTAGTGGGCAAACGTACAAAAACAGCAGGGGATCAAATACTTTTTTCCCTCACTGTATATATACTGAGATCATGTGACAGATCATGTTACACTTAGATTGCACACAGGTGGACTTTATTTAACTAATTATGTGACTTTTGAAGGTAATTGGTTGCACCAGATCTTATTTAGGGGCTTCATAGCAAAGGGGGTGAGTACATGTGCACGCACCACTTTTCCGTTATTTATTTTTTTAGACTTTTCTGAAACAAGTTATTTTTTTCATTTCACTTCACCAATTTGCACTATTTTGTGTATGTCCATTACATGGAATCCAAATTCAAATCAATTTAAATTACAGGTTGTAATGTAACAAAAATAGGATAAACACCAAGGGGGATGAATAATTTTGCAAGGCACTGTATGTTTATACATGTTTGATGAATAGGCGTGATTCATCTGAACCACTGTTTAGAGAAAGATACAGACGGACCCAGAGTCCGGTCACAGAGACACCATGACTATGACAGACTGGTGACTTTGTGCCTAACTGATGTAATGACTCTAAAATGTTTTCCACCCCGCCCACGGAGTTACAGACATACCAGGAGGACTTTTTATTGAGCGCTTATCACCACCTTGTGGGGGCTGTAATGTAGCAAAGTATTTGACTCGTAAACATGTAGTCTTCTGTAGCTCAGCTGGTAGAGCGTGGGTGCTTGCAACGCCAGGCTAGAGGGTTCGCATTCCTGGGCTCACCCATGCGTAAGATGTATGCATGCATGAACGTCAGTCACTTTGAAGAAAAGCGTTTGCTAAATGGCATATATTATGTTAAGATCAGTCAATGAATGATCAACTTAGATGTGAATTCCATTACTTTATAACAAAGAACACGTGACAGATTCTCTCTCTGAAGACAGACAGACAGTTGGAAGGAACACCTGTGTTTCATCGTGTATATCCCCAGAGGTTTTGGGGGGGAAAACCAACCCTGTTCTCTGATGTCCCGTGTGAGGCAGGCAAAGTGCACAGGGCTATTTAAAGATGGCTCGATAATGAACAGGCATTGGAGGAATCCACGGCCCTTTCACTACACACACACACACACACTCTCTCACCAAACACACTTCCTCCTATTAAGTCATCCCTGCCTTCTCTCTTCTCCTATTGGATATTGTCACTATGGCCCCTCCCCATGAGAACTTTGTCAAACAACTGTCAAGCGTTCTAATTTGCATTCTCATGGAATGTATCTGTCATGGAACATTGGTTCCAACATGGCGCCAATTAAATGAAGGGAAAAAAATACATTGTTAAGCTGTAGTCCCCTATGGGCCCTGGTCAAATGTAATGCACTTCATAGGGAATAGGGTGCCATTTGGGACACAACTTATATCTATGACAGACCCAGTCCACACTGTCTCCTCTTTCTCCGCACAGACAAGTGTTTATTAATAAACGTAAACGGAATCAGAGTCGCCAGGGCAACGCATAGCAGCACACTGACTGTTGGAGAGGAGGCAGAGTCAATCCTCTCTCTCTCTCTCTCTCCTCTCTCTCTCTCTCTCTCTCTCTCTCTCTCTCTCTCCTCTCTCTCTCTCTCTCTCTCTCTCTTCCTTCATCCTTCCTTTCTGTCTTATCCTCTCCCTCACTCTCTCTTCTCCAGACCCGCTGTCTCAGTTTCATCCAGTAGGAGAGGAGAAAGGGATCTGGTGAGTTTTATCAAGTGTATATATATATATATCTAATAACATGAACTTCAACAGGTCTGTGCGTTTTTGGGATCGTGGTCAAACAGCGACTTAAAGTATGTTTCTGGATCCGTTTTCAGAATGTTTCTCTGTAAAGCAGAGACACAGTTATTTATGTCCTGATAAAGTAGTTGTTTGGTCAATGCAGGTTTGTACCACTCTGAATCTGAATAGTCAACTCTAGGACAGTTTGTGGATAGAAGCTAGGACAGTTTGTGGATAGAAACTAGGACAGTTTGTGGATAGAAACCAGGACAGTTTGTACATGGGCAGACATAAGCGGGAGGCTCTGTAGGAATGTGTCGTCTCCAAGCGTACCCTGCCGGAAGCGGGAGGCTCACAACGGAGGCTCTGTAGGAATGTGTCGTCTCCAAGCGTACCCTGCCGGAAGCGGGAGGCTCATAACGGAGGCTCTGTAGGAACGTGTCGTCTCCAAGCGTACCCTGCCGGAAGCGGGAGGCTCATAACGGAGGCTCTGTAGGAACGTGTCGTCTCCAAGCGTACCCTGCCGGAAGCGGGAGGCTCATAACGGAGGCTCTGTAGGAACGTGTCGTCTCCAAGCGTACCCTGCCGGAAGCGGGAGGCTCATAACGGAGGCTCTGTAGGAACGTGTCGTCTCCAAGCGTACCCTGCCGGAAGCGGGAGGCTCATAACGGAGGCTCTGTAGGAACGTGTCGTCTCCAAGCGTACCCCGCCGTGTAGTAAGAGAGACAGCTGGTGCCCCTGCCATGCCGGTAACTGTCAATCCCAGGGCACCGGCGACAATGCAGAGAGACTGGCACTGAAAACAGGGGTCCTCACGTATCCACATAAACTGACAGAATGTGTCCTTACAGCCAGGTCATTTTCCAGAGTCCATATGAATAGCTGGTCCATTCACATGGTACACGTCATGTCACAAAAAAACTGACGCAGTATGACACAGGGGTATGCAGCAGTGTTTATTTTGGGTTAGCAGCTCATTCTTTTTTTTTTTTGGGTTGTCTCTGAAGACTGGTCCTGACTAGAAAAGTTGGTTTTGTTTACTTGGTGGGTTCACAAGAAAACACTAAAAACGTTACGACGGGACTCAAGCAAAAGTTAGTCAGTAAAGCAACAACTGAGTCTTACGGAATAGGCTAAGGTTAGAGTAACAAGCGGAATCATAACAGCTAAACACCAGCTACTCTCCTTGAGGCAGTACGAACAGCTTGTCCATTAACTGGCACACGACATGTTATGTTGACGTACTCTGTAATGTACTCTGTGTAATGCCAGTTGCTAAAGCGTTAGAGCCAGCGGGTGTCACAGTGTTTGTGTGAATGCCTGTGTATTAGGATACGAGTCAATGTGTGTCCAACCCGTAAGAATGGGAGTAAACGCACATAGTTTGTGCGTGCGTCAAGTATGTGTGTGTGTGTGTGTTTCTGATCCCAGCTGTCAGTTGGTGCTAGGCTAGGGGCAGCTGTCCCATGGTGACTGACGTTCTTTAGGCTTATTGCTGTGATGCACCACACCTCCCATAACCCCTACCCCGCCCGGCCCCTTCCTCGGTTCCTGACCTTAGACAGTTGATTAAAACATCTTGTTCCAAGCCACCAAATCTGTTGAGTGTGTCGACCCTGTAGGCTCTGTGGTTGGCATGCCTGTTGAGTGTGTCGACCCTATAGGCTCTGTGGTTGGCATGCCTGTTGAGTGTGTCGACCCTATAGGCTCTGTGGTTGGCATGCCCTGTTGAGTGTGTCGACCTGTAGGCCTGTGTTGGCATGCCTGTTGAGTGTGTCGACCCTATAGGCTCTGTGGTTGGCATGCCTGTTGAGTGTGTCGACCCTATAGGCTCTGTGGTTGGCATGCCTGTTGAGTGTGTCGACCCTATAGGCTCTGTGGTTGGCATGCCTGTTGAGTGTGTCGACCCTATAGGCTCTGTGGTTGGCATGCCTGTTGAGTGTGTCGACCCTATAGGCTCTGTGGTTGGCATGCCTGTTGAATGTGTCGACCCTATAGGCACTGTGGTTGGCATGCCTGTCCACCAAACAAAAGGTTGCCTATTTCGTCGCAGCTAGAAAGTTTACAATATTACTCACAACTTCCTCGACATCTGTTAACTCTTCATCTTCCTCCACTTCATCACAGGGCATGGAGGACCAAGAGTCTAAGCTGCCGATGGACCCGGAAATCTGCTTCGATCCGCTGTTCATCGATGAGGAAGACCAGTATGGGGATGAGGGTGTTGAAGAGGAGACCGGCGCTTCCTTCCAGCCTCTCCTGGGAGTTACCAGTACGAAAACACTCCTGACTGGCTCGGCTCACAGTCAGTCCTCCCTGTGGGATACCTACAGGGACACACACCTGGATGAGACAAAAACCCAGTTCAAGGACCCCATGTTTAGGAGTGTAGGTGAAACTAGAGACTCCTTTGGGCCTCACCTATTGGCGGCCGACACCAACACACACCTTAGTGGGTTAGGACAGATCCAGCCACACCTTAGTGGGTTAGGACAGATCCAGCCACACCTTAGTGGGTTAGGACAGATCCAGCCACACCTTAGTGGGTTAGGACAGATCCAGCCACACCTTAGTGGGTTAGGACAGATCCAGCCACACCTTAGTGGGTTAGGACAGATCCAGCCACACCTTAGTGGGTTAGGACAGATCCAGCCACACCTTAGTGGGTTAGGACAGATCCAACCACACCTTAGTGGGTTTAGGACAGATCCAGCCACACCTTAGTGGGTTAGGACAGATCCAGCCACACCTAAGTGGGTTAGGACAGATCCAGCACCACCTTAGTGGGTTAGGACAGATCAAGCCACACCTTAGTGGGTTAGGACAGATCCAGCCACACCTTAGTGGGTTAGGACAGATCCAGCCACACCTTAGTGGGTTAGGACAGATCCAGCCACACCTTAGTGGGTTAGGACAGATCAAGCCACACCTTAGTGGGTTAGGACAGATCCAGCCACACCTTAGTGGGTTAGGACAGATCCAGCCACACCTTAGTGGGTTAGGACAGATCCAGCCACACCTGAGGGAGATGGATGACCTGTTGAAGAGTTGTGAGGACATGACAGGCGTGTCCTTCGACTCTCAGCTGTCCACCAGGTACACAGACACACACCTGAGTGGACCAGCTCAGGACCAGAACCAGTCGGACATACAGAAGATGGATGCCATGATGGGGAGCTGTGGTGGGAATGATAGTCCCGCAGGTGCCTCCATCCTGACCTACACAGACACACACATGGAGAACCAGTGCCAAAGTCACCTGAATGAGGTGGAATCCATTTTGGATCAGAGTGGAGCCACAGGAGCCGCTGTCGAGCCTCAGTTGCCTCCTCTTACCTCCGCAGGCACTCAGCTGAGTGGCACTATGGCTGAGTATCAGACAGAGCTAATGGCGATGCTGGCCATGTTAGAGAACTGTATGGAGGAGGCAGGGATTACCTTTGACCCTTTAGAGTGGACTTACCCCAGTTTACCCAAAGGATATGGCCAACCCAACCCCAACATGAATAAGGTAACACAAGACAGACACACGGAGAGAGGAGTAGCAATGCAACGACACATGGAGTCTGTGGGGAATACCAAGACTGGAGGACTGGAGTCTGGGGGATGTGTGGATCTGAAGCCACATTTGGGCAGTACCTTCGGCCAATTTGAGCCCCCAAGCTACCAAGCTATCTCCACAGAAAGACACTCAGATGAGTTAGGAGACTGTGGAGAGACACACACAAGAGGACACATGTCCAGGGTGTGTGAAGAGGACACAGAAGGACACGTCTGCGGTGTGTCTCTGGGGGACACAGAGGCTCACATTATGTGGGGCCAACAACTAGAGACAGGGGTGGGACGGGTGGAGTTGGAAGTGTTGGGGACTGTGCTGGAGGGGTGCATCGAGGAGGTGGGGAGGCTGGAGAAGAGACGGGATGAACTGATGGGAGAGCTAAAGGCACTAAGGGAGGAGAAGACGGGGACAGAGGAAGGGAGCGAAGGAGGGCAGGCGGCACAGTTAAGGCAGGTGCTGAATATTGAGGCAGATGGGAGGAGGGAGGCACGGGTTAAGGAGTGGCAGTCTTTGAGGGCTGAGAGGAGTGAGGAGCAGAGGAGGCTGTCCAGTGTGCGTCTGGAGAGGCAGGGTCTTCAGGAGGAGATGAGGAGGCTAAAGAGGAGGCTGTTCTCCGTCGCCAGGGAGAGTGCTCACAACCAGGTCATCCTGGCAACCCAGCAGCGTGAGGTTGCCAAGCTAAACAAAGAACAGGTAGGGGCAGGAGTGTTCTTCTGACCATTCCAGAACTTTCTGAGTATCCATGAAACCTTCTGAGTGTTAGACAACCTTCTGAATTTTCCAAAACCTTCAGTATTTCAAAACCTTATGTGCATTCTAGAACTTTCTGAGTGTTATATAATATTCTGGGAGTTCAGGATCTATATGAGTGTTCCAGAGCATTTTAAATGTTCTAGAAAACGGAGTGTTCCAGAACATCTAAGGTCGACATGCTCAGAGAAGGTTACCCAAAAAATTTAAGGGGACCCCCGGGGAAGGGGGGGGGGGGGGGAAAAAACAAAAAGGAAAAGGGGAAAAAAAGGGAAAAGGGGGGGAAAAAGGGGCCGGGGAGTGGGAGGGGCAAATTGGGGGGCCCCAAAATTGGGGGGGGGGGTTTTTAAAGGGGACGTGAGAAAAGGTGGGGTTTTTGGGGGAAAGGGCGGGGTTTAAGGGGGGGGGGAAGGAAAGGCGGGGGGGGGCCCCGGGGAAAGGGGGGGCAAACAAAAGGCTGGAAAGGGAGTGGGGGGGGGAAAAAGGGGGGGGAAAGGGGGGGGGGGGAAAAAACGGGGGACAAAACCTTGGGGGGAGGGGGGGAAAGGGGGAAAACGGGGCCCCGGTTAAAAAAAAAACCCCAGGGTGGGGGGAAAACTAAAAAAAAGGGGGGAAGGGGCTTTGTTTAAAAGGGGGTTTTCCAAAAATTTGGGGGTTTAAAAACCCCCTTTTTTTTTTTTTAAAAACCGGGAAGAAAAAATTTTCTTTGGAACCCGGGGGAGGGGGGGGAAAAGAAAAATTTGGGGGAAAAAAACCCAAGCCGGGCCCAGGGGGGCCCCCCGGGGGGGGGGGGGGGGGGCCCCCAGGGGCCCGGGAAACCGGGAAAAAAGGGGGGGGGAAAGGGGCCCCCCCAAAAAAAAGGGGGGCGGGGGGAAAAACCCCAAAAAAAGGGGCGAAGGGGGGAAAACAAGGGGGGGGCCCCCCAAAAAAAGGGGAAAAGAGAGGGGAAAAATAAGTGGGGGGAGGGAACCCCCAAAGGGTTTCCGCTCCCCCCCCGGGGGGCCCCCAAAAGAGCGGGGGCCCCCCAAAAAGCCGCGCCATCTCAAAAGGGGAAAAAAGGGGGGGGGAAGACCCCGCGGGGGAGGCCCCGGGGGGCCCGGGGGAAACGGGGGGGGAGCGGAGGGCCGCAAGGCAAAAAAGGGAGAGGGGCGCGGAAAAGGGGGGGGAGAGAAAAGAAGCGCCGCGACGCCCCGGGCCCCAAAGGCGGCGGGGCCCCCAGGGGGGACGGGCCGGGCGGCGAACGGGCGGGCCGCGGGGGCCCCCGGGGCCCCCCCGGGGGGGGGGGGCCCCGGGGAAAAGGCGGGGGGACGGCAGAGGGGCGGGGAAAGGAGGAGAGGAGGGAAACGGGGGCCGGGGGGACGCGGGGGGGAGGCCCCCCGGGGGGAGGGGGGGAGGGGGGGAAGGGCGGGGGGGGGGGACCCCCCAAACGAAACCCCCCCCCCCCGGGCCCCCCCCCAAAACCCGCCCCCCCAAAAAAAAAAGGGGGCTTGGGAGGGGAGGGGGGGGCGAGGGGGGGGAAAAGGGGGACGAAGGGAGGGGGGGGGGGGGGGGGAGGGGGGCCGGGGGGGGGGGGGGAAGGGGCCGGGGGAAGGGGCGGGCGGGGGGGGGGGGGGGAAAAGGGACCCCCCAAGAAAAAAAAGGGGGCTCCCCCCCCCCAAAAAAAAAAAAAAAGACCAACAAAAAATTTCCCCCCTTGAAAAAAAGGGGTTTTCTATAAAAATTTTAAAAAAGCATTTTTTCTTCCTCTCCTCTTCTTCTTCCCTTTTTTTTCCTCTTTTTTCTCTCCCCCCCCCCCCCCCCCCCCAGATGGAATTTGACACACTTTTCCAGCTGACTGAGGAGTTGTCTCAGTCCGCCACCCACCAGACCCAGCTCTCCCCCCTGCAGCCCCCTCCCCCCCCCACCAGCACCAACCCCATAGGGAGCGACCCGAGCAAAAGGGAAATCCCTTTGGGGGGGATACGCAGTACCGGGGGGGGAGCTAAAGGGCCCCGGAGGAACGGTAATTTCCCCTCCGAATTTCAAGGGGATATAAATCAAAGGTGGGCCAGCAAAATTGCACAGGATTTACCAACAGATGAGTACCCCCTTAATTTATTATCTGACATTTAAAAATATGTCCAAATTTTCAAATAAAAAGGTCGGAAAGATTTTCAGGGTTTTCCAGGAAAAGATACCGCCCCCTTTAGGAGGCCCATCGGGCCTGTTTAAGAAGGGAGGGCCAAAAAGGCCCGGGGGCCCCGGGAGGGCAGGGGTGGGCCCCCCCGGGGCCCCTGGGGGAGGGGGCAAACTGGGGCCAGAGGGGGCCTGGAGGAGGATAAAGAGGGAAAGGAGGGGGGGGGCGAAGGGGAGGAGGGGGAGGGAGGGGGGGAGGGGGGGCTGGAATTTCAAGGCTCCCGGAATGCCAGTAGAAATTTTTAAAAATTCCAAAAGCCATAACAGGGGGGGTTTTTGGGGTTACAAGGCTACCCGGAATCCCTAAAGGGGGGAATTCAAAAAAAAGAGGAAAAAAGGGGTTTTTAAACAAACCCCAGGAAGCAACAAGGGGGGGGGGGGTACGGGCAAGGAATGCGGACGGGGTTAATTAAAAGGGTAGGGGAAAGCCCGTGAATTAATTTCAAAGGGGGTAAAATCCCGAGAAGGGTTTAAAAAAAAGGGTGGGCCCGTAAAAGGGTTGAAATTTAAAGGGGGTCCCGGAAGATAGGGGTTTGGGAAATTAAGGGGTGGAATGAAAATTGGTCAAAGGGCCCTCGGGGGAAAAAATTTTGCCCAGGGGCGGGTTTAATTAAAAGGCTCCGGAACCTGGGAAGGGGTTGAAAACAGGACCGGGCCAGTAGAAGGGGGGAAAACAACCTCCAGGTGCAGTGGAAAGGGGAAAACAAAGGGCCCTCCAGGGGAAAAGCCCAAAGCGGGGGGGGTACAGCTTAAACCCGTAGAAGGGTTTAATTCAACCCCCCGGGGAAAGCCGTGACCCTTTAAAAACGGGTTGGGGGTGAGTGGGGTTTGGGGAACCCAAAGGGCCGAAGCCCAAACCGGGGGGGAATTTTCAGGCGTCCAGGAATGATAGACGGGGGGGAATTACAAAGGGTGCAGGAAGGAGACGGTTTTGGAACAGGGCCCGGTGCCTTTTGGGGTTTTTTTCGGTGCAGGAATGGTGAATTGGAATTAAAGGTGTAGATGCCGGCAGGGGGAATAAAGGGTGGGAAGAGTAAAGGGTTTGGAAACGGCCTTAGGGGCCCCCTAGACAGGGGGGAATTTAAAAACGTCCAGGAAACCATCATTTAAAACAAGGCCTCCCAAAACCAGAAAGGGGGGAAAAACAAAACCTCCCAAAAACCTAAAACAGGGTTGAATTAAAGGGGTCAAACCAGAGGACAGGGGGGAAAGGCTGGGAGCGTAGCAGGGGGAATTAAAAGGGATCCAGGAAACCCGGGAAAGGGGGAATTAAAGGCCCCAGGGAAACCCCTAAGGGGTTGGGAAAAAGGGGGCCGGTGCCAGGGGAAAATTTGGAATTACAACCTCCAGGAAACGTAGCTTGGAATTAAACCGTCAAAGCAAATAAAAGGGGGGAACAAGGTAAAATGCCGTAAAAGGGTTGGTTTACAAGGCCGTCAGGAAAACCAAAAGATTTGGGGTTGAAAACCCTCCAAAAGAGAAAGGGTTAATTACAAGGACAAAATAGAAAATTGGGTTCAACCCCTCCCGGAAAGCCATAAAGGGGAATTTCAAGGCCCCCAAAACGTAAAAAAGGGGTTGAATTACAAGGCCTCCCAAACCATTGGGCGGGATGATTGCCCCGGGGTGGGCCTTGGGAAACAAAGGGTAGGTGCCCAAAAAACCCCGGGGGGTTCAGGCCTCCCAAACCGTGCGGGTTTTGGAAACCCGGCTCCGGTCCAGGACAAATTTTGTGTCATCGGCAAACTTAATGACGGTGTTGGAGTCGTGCCTGGCCACGCAGTCATGGGTGAACAGGGAGTACAGGAGGGGACTGAGCACGCACCTCTGAGGGGCCCCCCGTGTTGAGGACACGGTTGGAATTACAAAGCTGTCCAGGAATTCTACACTCTCATAACACATCAGGGAACCTCCAACACACACAGACATAGATTAAAAACCACCAGCCTTTCAATACATTATAAACACTAATGTCAGGTTTATGAAACTTTTATGAAGCCTTGTCTCCCTCCCCACAGGAGACAGTGGAAAGGCTGGAGGAGACTAGCAGAGAGCAGAAGATGGAGCTGCAGATCCAGAAAAGGAAAACCAAGGAGATGGAGGAACTGAGAGACAGCCTTACTAAAGAACTCTACCTGTACAGGTGACACAATTGACCGTTTCACTCTCCTAGTTCATCCTTTCAAGAATCTACCACAATCCACAGATAACGTCAGCATTGGCTATTAAAATCAGTTCAATTATACGTCACTAGCTTATAACATGGTTAACAAGGTTGTAAATATTGACTGTAATCGGGTGCTTTTTTTCTCCTTACAGAGGCAATGTCGAGGACGATAACAAGAATGATCTAACCAGTGTGAAGGAGAAAACATGACCATTGGGACGAATAGAAGTCAAATATACACTGAGTGTACAAAACATTAAGAACACCTTCCTATTATTGAGTTGCACCCCCCCTCAGAACAGCCTCAATTCGTTGGGGCATGGACTCTACAAGGTGTCGAAAGCGTTCCACAGAGATGCTGGCCCATGTTGACTCCAATGCTTCCCACAGTTGTGTCAACTTGGCTGGATGTCCTTTGGTTGGTGGACCATTCTTGATACACACAGGAAACTTGAGTGTGAAAAACCCGGCAGCGTTGCAGTTCTTGACACAAACTGGTGCGCCTGGCACCTACTGCCATACCCCGTTCAAAGGCACTTAAATATTTGGTCTTGCCCATTGACCCTCACACACAATCCGTGTCTCAATTGTCTCAAGGCTTAAAAACCTTTCTTCAACCTGTCTC